CTCCTACATCCAAAGCCTCCAAGAAAAATATGAATCAGTCCCAGGCCTTGGAAGAGCTCAAAAGGGATTTTGAGAAGCAAGTAAGGGAAGTAGAGGAAAAACTGGGAAGAGAAATGAGAGTGATGCAAGAAAATCATGAAAAACAAGTCAACAGCTTGCTAAAGGAGAAAATAACACCTTAAAAAATAGCCTAACCCAAATGGCAAAAGAGGTCCAAAAAGCCAATGAGGAGAAAAATGCCCTAAAAAGAAAAATTGGCCAAATGGAAAAGGAAGTCCAAAAGATTACTGAAGAAAATACTTCCTAAAAATTAGAATAGAGCAATTGGAAGCTAGTGACTTTATGAGAAATCAAGACAACAAATCCAAAAGAATGAAAAATTAGAAAAAATGTGAAATATCTCATTGGAAAAACAACTGACCTGGAAAATAGATCCAGGAGAGAGAATTTAAAAATTATTGGACTATCTGAAAGCCATGATCAAAAAAAGAGCCTAGACATCATCTTTCAAGAAATAATCAAGGAAAACTGCCCTGATATATTAGAAACCAGAGGGCAAAATAGAAATTGAAAGAATCCACAGATCTCCTCCTGAAAGAGATCCCCAAAGGAAAACTCCTAGGAATATTGTAGCCAAATTCCAGAGTTCCCAGGTCAAGGAGAAAATATTACAAGCTGCCAGAAGGAAACAATTCAAGTACTGTGGAAACACAATCAGGATAACACAAGATTTAGCAGCTTCTACATTAAAGGACCACAGGGCATGGAATATAATATTCCACAGGGCAAAGGAGATAGGATTACAACCAAGAATCACCTACCCTTCAAAACTGAGTGTAATCCTTCAGGGGAAAAAATGGTCATTCAGTGAAATAGAGGACTTTCAAGCATTCCTGATGAAAAGACCAGAGCTGAATAGAAAATTTGACTTTCAAATACAGGACTCAAGTGGAACATGAAGAGGTAAACAGGAAAGAGAAATCATAAGAGACTTATTAAGATTGAACTGTTTACATTCCTGCATGGAAAGATGATATTTATAACTCATGAGACCTTTGTCAGTATTAGGGTAGTTGAGGAAAAAAATTATATGTAGTATAGATAGATAGATAGATAGATAGATAGATAGATAGTAGATAGATAGATAGAGGGCACAGGGTGAGTTGAAGATTAAGGGGTCATATCTGGGGAATAAAATTAAGGGATGAGAGAGGATGATACTGGAAGAAGAAAGGGAGAGGTAGAATGGGGTAAATCATCTCACAAAAAAAAACAGAAAAGAAAAGTCTCTCACAGTGGAAGGGAAACAGGGGAAGGTGAGAGGGAATGAAAGAATCTTATTCTCATAGGATTTGGCTTAAGGAGAGAATAACATACACATTCAATTGGGTATGGAAATCTGTCTTACCCTACAGGAAAATAGGGGAGAAGGGGACAAGAGAGCAGGGGATGATAGAGAGGAGGGCAGATTGGGAAAGGGGGTAATCAGAAGCAAATACTTCTGAGGAGGGACAGGGTCAAAAGAAAGAATAGAATAAATGGGAGGGCAGGATAGGATTAAGGGAAATAGAGTTAGTTTTTCACAACATGTCTAGGAAGTGTTTTGCATAACTGCACATGTACAACCTATATTGAGTTGCTTGCCTTTTCAATGAGGGTGGGTGGGGAGGGAGGAAGGGAGAAAATTTGGAACTCAAAGTTTTAAAAACACATGTTTTTAAAAAATTGTTTTCACATGCAACTGGGAAATAAGAAACACAGGAAATGGGGTACAGAAGTCTATCCTGCTCTACAGGAAAATAGAAGGGGAAGGGCATAAGAGAAGGGAGGGGGGAGAGATAGAAGAGAAGGCAGACTAGGGGAAGGGTATTCAGAATGCATGCCATCTTGGGGTGGGGGGAGGGGTGAGAAATTTGGAACTCAAAAACTTGTGGAAGTGAATGTTGAAAACTAAAAATAAATAAATTTGTATTTTAAAAAAATCTAATGGAGGAGACAATATGCAAACAAATGTATACAAAGCAAACTGTACACAGGATTAATAGGAAACAATAAGGGAAAACACTGGAATTAAGAGGGGTTGGGGAACTTCTGTAGAAGTGGGGACTGTAGTTAGGATTTAAAGGAAGCCAGGGATGTCAGTAGCCAGATTCATGATCACATGAATAGATAGTCTTGTGAGGGAAGAAAAGAGGATAGATGGGAAAGAAAATATAAAAGTAAACTTGAAAGACATGACAATTGATTGGCTATGGGGGAGAAGGGAAGGATGTCAACTACAAGGGACCATATAGGGTATTGGTGCATTAAGTGCATAGGTGTAATGTAAAAAATTCCTTCTGCAATTCAAATAATTCCCTGTCTCATCCTATTTTTTACTGCTTCATAAGTAGAGGTTTTCATATATCATTAAAAGCAAGGCATAGTTCCATTGGGATAAATTCCATCCTTGAGTCCCCAAGACCAATTTTGGTCTTATATTTTCTTTTTAAATTGTTGCTGTTTCTTTTTTTCCTCTTTCATTTAATCAGTTATTTACACTACTCAAGTCTCAAAGATTCAGGGAAACTAAAATTACCTGTTATTCTGGGAACTATACTCTAATGAATACTGACTATACCAAAGTCCTGAGATGTTCTTTGGGTTGCTAAATACATTGGGAAAGCCTTGGTACTGGCTTGCAGACAGTGCTTTATAGAAAAGCACAGACTGGTTTCTAGCCCATTTCTTTTTACAAAAGTAAGCAAAGAGTTTTATGAAAACCCTAAAGGGAAAGGACTTACCTTCATCTAAGACAATTTCCCTGAGTTTGGCAGACAGAAACTAAAACAAAGGGAAATTCTTGGAGGGCTGAACTTGAAGTCAAAGGATCTGAGTTCAAATAGAAGGCCTGGTGCTTATTGTATGACGACTTCGGGTGGCCTCATGTGTTTTTTTTTTCTTTTTGGTGAGGCAATTAAGGTTAAGTCACTTGCCCACGGTCATACAGCTAGTAAGTGTCAAATGTCTGAGGCCAGATTTGAACTCAGGTAATCCTGACTTCAAGGATAGAGCTCTATCTACTGCACCACCTATTATATATTATATATATTTTAGATTATCTTTTTTCCTGGCCTCAGTTTCTTCATCTGGAAAATGGAATAGGGGACAGAGGATATCTAAAGTCCCTTCCTGATTGAGATCTATAATCCTAGAGTTATTTGTTGGGAAACGTCTCTTTAGGAGATCTTTAGGTTTCTTTCAACTAGTTGATTTTTCATTGTTTCAGAGCTGCAAAGGGCCCTTAGAGAAAATCTAATCCAACTTTTCTGCATTTTACCTATGACAAAACTAAGGGGTTAAGTGACTTGCCCAAGGTGTCACAGGTAGTAAGTGCCAGAGCTCATATCTGAACACAGTTCTCTGATTCAAGACCCAATTTTTTTTCCATTATACCATGGTTGGGATTGATTGACAGATTCTGAAGATTTAAATGGCCAGTTTTACCCTTTTGCAGATTCTCTTTGTTCACTGTCTTCCTCTATTAGAATGTAAGCTCTTTGAGGCCATGGACTGTTGCTTGCTTGTATTTTAATCCCTACTGCTTAGCATAGTGCCTAGCACATAGTAAGACTTAACAAGTGAGCCTGGAGTCAGGAAGACTCATCATCCTGAGTACAAACCTGGTTTCAGACATTTACTAGCTATACGACTCTCTGCAAGTCTCTTAACACTGTTTGCCTCAGTTTCCTCATCTGTAAAATGAGTTGGAGAAGGAAATTACAAATCACTCCAGTATCTTTACCAAAAAAACCCCAAACGCAGTCATGAAGAGTCAGACATGACTGAAATGACTGAACAACAAATGCTCTATTGTATTTTTAATTATTTTTTAAACATTTCCCAATTAAATTTTAGTCTGCTTGGTCAGCCCTCTGAATGCTGGGGGCAGTGTATTTGACTCCTCTGTACTACACCATGTAGCCTCTATGCTAAATCTCTTCTTCTGGCCTCCCTTCCCTCCCTTCATGATATAATGGAGGCAATCAGAAGAACCTTATACCTGCAATAGCTATCACACACTCCATGGAGTATTTATGGAGCTGAAATAAGTTTCCCTGGCTACTTTGGGAAGCACATATGCTTAACATTGAAGGTTCTTGGGGTATCTCAACAATTCTTTCATCACCATGATACCAACAGAGGGATGGGCTGTTTCAATGAGGACCAACTACTCAGTCAGGGAGAATTGCCCACTTAGACTTTAAATGGAGAGACAATTCATGTTTTTGCACTCTTCTTCCCCCTTTCTGAATAGGTAGCATATGGCTTGCTACTTAGACAACTCTCCCTTGGATTTCCCAGGGTGGGACATCTCTTCTCCAAGTAAGGGGCTCAGTCCCCACAACAGGAAGTACACAGGAGAGCTATCTGAGCCTCTAGCCATACTATAATCATTTTGATTCTATAACTGACCCAAGAAAGGCATCATTTTCCATTCATGAATTTTTTCTGCTGGTCATTTCCTCCTAATATTCAAACCTTGGGTCACCTCCACTATACATCTTCTCTACTGAGCACTGACCAATCAGACTAAAATTTATTTGGGAAATAAATGTTTTAGAAAATAATTAAAAATACACTAGAACATAGATAATGTGAACGTGTGATTTTCTAAGTCAATCTACTGCCTGTAGGAATCCTTATGCACAATTTATTGGCCTGTTTCTATTTGAGTTTGGTGTAGTGGATAAAGAGCTGGCCTCAAAGCCAAACATGAAATGGCAAAGAATCATTTTCCCTGCAACCATGTTTTCACTATTGATTTTCTGAGCAGAACCCCCTAGCCTATCACTACATTATTACAGATTCCAAACAAGCAACACCCAAATGAATGGGATTTCAATGTAATGTGAGCATTTCTTATTTTAGTCTGCATCTCTTATCCCAAAATTGCCAGAGAACTAGACTCAGATTAATGTTTTTTAGTATGGTCATCATTTTTTTGGTTTTTCTTTTAGTTGTTCGAGTAGGATTCCCATGTCTTGGAAAACAAGACGGAGTGGCAGCATTTGAAGTGAATGTGATCCTAATGAACTCTGAAGGCGATATTATCCTCCAAACTCCCCAGAATGCCATCTTCTTTAAAACATGCCAGCAAGGTAATCATTGATGGATTGAGTAAAGACTACTGGGTCCATGAATATAATCTGGGTTAAGGGGAACTTGCACTGTATCTAACATATTCTGGTTCTATTTATAGGATAACCTCATTAACTACTATTATATTATCTACTAGTCTTTTTTTTCCAAAAAAGTTTTTTTTTCAAGTTGTCACAAAGCTCTACAATATGTTAGCTAAAAAGCACTAGGATATTAGAAGCTGTATGTTCTTGTGGAATCCTGATCTGGTATCAGAAAGACATAGGTTTAAATTCTTCCTCTGATTACTTACCTGACAGGTATGTAACCCTAGACTAATTCCAGTTAACCTTGCCAGGCAATATTTTTGTTTTAGTTTAGGTTTTTTTTTAATAGCATTGAGATGCTATCTGCTTTCAATAGTAACCAATGAACACAAGCATTTCCTATTATGTTGGAGGATCAGAAGTTCTATCTCCAGGGACAGTTAGGTGGTGCAGTGGATAGAGCACCAGCCCTGGAGTCAGGAGGACCTGAGTTCAAACCTGCCCTCAGACACATGACACTTACTTGCTGTGTGACCCTGGGCGAGTCACCTAACTCCATTGCCTACCCAAAACAAAACGTTATATCTCCAGGTGGAGAAACCAGAACAGACATTCCTTTCCCAAAGATCTAGACTCAAAAGAGTTTTGAAATGTCATTTAATCCAACACCCCCATTTTGCAGATGAGAAGAATGAGACTCAGAGGGGCTTAATTAAGTGACATATCTAGGGTCACACAGGGAATAAGTGATAGAGAGCCAAGATGTGAAACCAGGTTGTCTGACATGAAATACAGCAGTATTTCCTCTCTATCACGTTTCCCTCTTCCTACTAAGAAAGCTATAGGGCCATTAATAAAACTCACTCCCCACATCTGAGTCTCAGATCATATCCTAAAGGAGGAAAATATCTGAGAGTGCATCTCAGATTCACTGGACATAGGAATAGTGTGTGTGTGTGTGCGTGTGTGCATGCGTGTGTGTGTGTGTGTGTGTGTGTGTGTGTGTGTATTGGGGAGGGGATGACCAAATAAAGGACAAAAGTAAGAAGAGCATTGCCATGCAAATGGGGCATAACTGCCATTTTGCATTTCATATCTTAAGAAAGGAAGCAAATAAGGAAGTGAAAGTCGTAGATGCGCAAAGGCAGTATATGAAAAGAGGCCTGGAGCCATGAGAATGGGCAGAGAAGCACAGAGATGTCCATGATTCAGGGCCACTGTTCTACATCTCCTGCTGCAATAACAATTTCCAGTCTTTAGGGCTGTACAAGTCTATCCTCCTTTGTTGGATTCTGCAACACTCCTGTTTCCTCTCTTTTCTTCCCTATCCCCTCTAAAACTGTTAAATGGCATGTTTTTCTCTTTGTAATTTATATTTTTTAAATGAGAATTTTAGATGTTTCATAGGATAATTAGAAACACCCTGAGCTTTTGTAAAATCAGAGTTGGGAATTATTACCTTAGAGCAGGAGTTCTTAATTTGGGGTCCATGGAATAAGATGAATAGATACAGAGATAGAGATAAACCTGTAGAAATAGATGGAAATAGATGTATATAGAGATAGATATACATATAGAGGTATAGAGGTAGGTAAAGATATACAGATGGATAGAGATAGATATGATTACATAGCTAGATATAGAGCCATAGAAACAGATATATAGATATAAATACATGTGTATTTGTGTATATACGTATATCTGTACATGTATGCATGTATATATACATATATACATATGCAAATGTGTGCATATGTATATGTGTGTATATCTATATCTATCTATAGATATAGATATGCTCACACATATTTATGTATGGATATCCTAGGTGGCTCAATGGATAGGCTGGGCCTGGAATGAGGAGGACCAGAATTTAAATCTAGCCTCAGACACTTACTAACTGCGTGACCCTAGACAAGTCACTTAGCTTCTATTTGCCTCAGTCATCTGGAGAAGGAAATGATAAACCACTCCAGAATCTTTTTCAAGAAAACCCAATAATGGGATCACAGAGTCTGACACAACTGATCACCTGAACAATAACAACAATAGGTTTATATATAAATGTTTATAGATAGGTGCATATTAATGTAACTAGTTTCCTTTGTAATGCTAAATATTTTATTTTATGAATTTAAAGCATTATTTTGAGAAAAGGCCCAAAAAACAACAACAACAAAAAACCCCCCCAAAAAAGAGAGAAAAGGCCCACAGGGTTCACCAAACCATGGCCTAAGGGGTCCATTGCATTACTCCACCTTAGAGCCTACCCAGATATGGCTGTCTTGATAAGTCTTTCCACTCCATTATTTTCATTGCTGAAATTGAAGGTCAAAGGGAAAAGTGCCCAGAATAAAGATACTGCATAGAGGTTGCTATGGAATAGCATTCTATAGGCTAATAACATATGTGTAGAACTTGAAGGAACCTAAGATGTTATAGAGCCCAGACCTCTCATTTTACATATAGAAAAGCTGAGATTCATAAAGGTCAAATGACTTGCCCAAGTTGCAATTGCAGTCTAAGTGTCAGAATCAGGATTTCAGCTGAGGTCCCCCACCTTCAAATCCAGTACTTTCCCCACTGAATCAGTGTTTATTATTCTAGTGATTTTAATGAAGTTTTTAACTTTAGTTCAGCTTTTGCAATTTGAATTGAGAGCTTATTTTTCTGGATTTAAGAATTTGAATTCTTATTTGGAAAGAAGTGGCCAGTGCCAGGACTAAAAACGACTTAGTAAGACAGAACCAAATTTTTAATGGAAAATTCCAAAAAGATGTTTTAAGTGGTTATAAACATGATATTTCATGTCTCCTTCCAGTTTCCTCTTTTCCAATTGTTTTCTAATAATCTTTAAACCATAGTAGAGAAGATATAGAGAAATCTGTTTTTTCCCCTTACAGGATAGCAGTCTAGTTATAGATAAGCTCACTTTCTTTCATTTTTTTTATCATAAATAAAGCCTCTTGAAATACAAAGGAATACTCAAATTAGATCGCACTTGTATACTTTAGATAGTACAGTGCTAGAACCAAAATAATAGTAATAAGAATAGCTGGCATTTATATAATGCTTTGGGTTTTCAAAGTGCTTTACAAATATTATCTCAATTTATCCTCACAACAACCTGGGAGACAGATGCTATAATTATCTCCTGAGGCAGACAGAGGTTAAGTGACTTGCTCCAGGTCACATAGCTAAGTGTCTGAGACTAGATTTGAACTCAGATATTTGTGACTCCAGGTCCAGCCATCTATTTACTCCACTCTCATATCTTTCAAATACCATTCAGCAAGCAATTTGAAAACAATAGATTTAGAATTTTTAATGATGTGAAAGCAAAATCACATTCAATTAAAGCAGAATTTTTCAAAATGTCAGACATGTTCTGGAACAGGGGAGAAATGATGGGTATGAGACTCTCTAAGGGAAATTCAAACCAATGGACCAAATCGTTGGCTATTTTTAAATACAATTCCTTTATAAATACAACTCCCACATAAATATATCCATTTTTTAAAAAGTAAAAGCAAAGTTTAAATCCAAATCAACAAAGGCATGACTGACAACAAATTCACTCCAACTGATGGTAACTCCAGTCCAAAAACTACTTAATATGATAGGTGTAAATTGGAGTCAAGACATGACAAATTTCAATGTGTCCTTGTCAGTCTGTGGAGGCTGATGATCCAAATAAGTTTGTGGTATCTAATTGCTTGTTGCATTTTGACAGTAAATGTATGATTTCAATGCTAAACAATCTTTCTGTGTAAGTTAAAAGGTACCACAATACCTGCCATTTTTCTTAAGATCATTTTTTGAGTACAATATAACAAGCTGATTTTTAAAAAAAATACCAATAACTTTTTTTAAAAATTGAAATGACTTGAAAATGAGTACTTATAATTGAAATTTTCAAAAATTAAATTTCAATTCAATTGTCATATACTTTTATGGTTTCTCAGTTTTAAAAACAAAAAATAAAAAAACCCTTCATGATGAATAAATACCCACTTTGAAGGAAAAGTCCACTAGAGTGACTTATACCAGCATAATAAAGATAACTGAAGTAACAGAAATAAATATGAAGTAATAAGCCCAAATCCAACTAAATGTGATCTATTATATTTATCACTGAAATTTACAAATACTGTTATTAATGGAGAGGAAAAGCTATTCTTTCCTTTGTATGAACGCTTTTGCTTCAGATAGCGCAAAACCTAATGAATTTTTAAAAATTTTGAAAGTATATGCATAGCATATGCTAGCAAGAAACTATAATCTTCCTATAGAAAACCAGTTATTTGCAAAAGCTAACTTTTTCAAAATCTATAACCTCAAAAGGATTGCTTGCATGATCAAAGTCGCTTATAGTATCACTAAGAGTAAAAAGCCTCATTTTGATAAGAGAAACATAGTAGTGCTATCTGTATCTATTAATATAATTAAAACGAAATTTTTCAAAACTTAAGTACAAAGCAGCTTTGAATGACTCTACTTGTACATAGTATGGTGGGAAGGAGAATTGCCTACATATCTGAAGACCTTTGTGATCAATTAATTGAGAAACGAAAATATTTCTATTTTGCATTGTAAATGGTTGAAGTAATAGATGTAGTTAAAAGATGCTAATTTGGTTATTTAGGCATGATATATTGTTGAAACTTATGTTAGGAGGAAAGCTGTATTGCTTTGTAAGCCTGTTGGTGGCAATGACAAATCACGATACATTTTCAATGTGATGAATTTTTTTAAATGAAAATTATATACTGTGGAAGAATTGCATAGGACTTTTCACTGATGGAGCTCAATTAATGTCAGAATGAAATCCAGCTCCATAAACACTAGTTTAAAATGGTCTTTTATGCAATTTGGACATTTATGGCTCATAGAAAATCATTTGTATTGATAAATATAGTCAAAAAACCACACAGTTTTCAAGTTGTCAGGGTAATCAACTTTTTTTTTAAAGTCTATTAAAAGGAAGGCTCTTTACAAAATTGAGCAACAGTATAGAGCCAGCAAGGGCACAGAACATTTCTGTATTATTGCCAAACACATTGGCTTTCTTGAGCCAAAGCACTTTGAAGGTTCTTAGAAGCATTCATAACAATGAATCATATTCACTCTATAGCAGAAATTTCCTTTTCAAAGTTGTAGATTCGTTGAACCTTTTTTTTAAACTGAGTGATCTAAATAAATCAATAACTTCCTCCAATTGCTATTCTGATCCAGAAAGATAAAACAACAGCCTTTAGGAAACAAGTCATAGCTGTGGCTGATAATTTTGCAAAATAATATTTTCCTATGTTTTACAATTTTTAAAATACTTGGCCTGCAAATGAAATAGGAGAAAATAAAGGAAGGCTTATAAATCACTTCAGAAGTCATTTTAGAATTTTATTTTTAAGTCTGATGTGAATGGATAAGGAATCCATTTGCCATGTAAAATGAGGAAACATTCTCAGAAACACACAGGATCACGAAATTTGAGAGTTGGCGGGTATCTCAAATCTAATCTAAGGAATCTCCCTCCACTCTACCATACCTGACAAGTGGTCATGCCAAATCTGCTTGAAGACTTACTATCACCTCTTGTAGCAGTCCAACCCATATTTGAACAACTTTAATAACTAGAAAGTTTTCTCTGACATTAAGCCTAAATTTTATTTTTTGCAACTAAATTTCAGCCCTTTGGGGCCAAATAAAAATGTCTGATCCCTCCTTCACATGATAATCCTTCAGATATATAGAGATACCTATACTGTCTCCCCTGAGTGTTCTGAGGCTAACCATTCCTGGTTCCTTCCACTAATCCGCATTTGATTTTATTCTGTCTAAAAGAAGAGTAGTCCATAGACTCGTTTTGGGATAGTTCCTCAAAACAGAAAATCGGATATTTTGGTTATGGATGAATAAAGAGTTCTTTGGTTTATCAAACAAAATCATACACATTTAACTACTGTTTATAACTTTTTATTTTTGTGAAACAGAGTGTTTTGTAGCAGAAAAAATGTTGATCTCAACTAATGGTTGAAAAAGAATTATGAATAAGAGTATCATGAATGATGCCACATTTTGGGAAACTTCACATAGAAAAACCCAATCACATTACTGATTTTGTAATGGTTGTTATGTTTACAAATTATAAATGAAACAGAGGCTATGACAACTATGTATAGCAAGTTTTTTAAATTGGTGATCCATGTGTAGCTTAAGTGGAGTCATTACTCCTCTTTATCTGCTACTCAACTTGTTATTTTATTCTTTATTCAGGTTCTAAGGAAATCAAGAAGCATGTTCAGATATGTACTCAGGAGTTATTGAAATGGCAAAATATCCATTATTAATTAATCAATTGTCTCTGAGCTACCAACCCAATTTATTAAATATTACTTAATAAAGTAAAGAGACCTCTTTCCCCATAAGTTTTCATTCATCTCTGTATCTGTCTGTCCACATATATGCAGATATATATATGTGTGTTTGTGTTTATATATATTTATGTATGTGTATATATATATACATATATACACACACATATATACACACACACACACACACACATATATATACTTATATATCAACCCCCATCTCCTTATCTTAAACAAACACTAAAATTATTGGCTATACAAACAATATATCAAACAATAAAGACATAAATTTTTTTTAGAATATAGTAGGTATGAGTAAAATCACAGTCAGAGTCAACTCTAACCATTATTGCTACTGCCATTTTTTAAGTTATGGAAACACAGTTGTCCCATTCAATTCTCTCAGGATACCTGCCAAAAGTAATTCAACAATTCTCTTTATAATGTTTCTTCACAAGACAAGAGTCTCTCAGGAAAGAAGTCCTCTTAGTTCTTTATGGTTACACCTCACCCAGTCTCTCTCCATCTAGAGCAGCTGAAACAGACTGCAGAATCACAATGAAATTGTATCCTCTTTAGACTGACTCCTCACAATAAACAGTTAAACAGAAACACCTAAAGCTTCCAAGCTTTCTTAAAGCTACAGGAAAAGTATCCAGAGCCTCTATGGGAGGGGCTATCGAGCTGTACTTCTCACAATCCCTAACCAGGGACTGTCTCATGCTTGTATTTGTTTTCCTAATGCTTAGCACAATGCCTGACATATAGTATGTGATTTAATAAATGCTTATTTGTTGATCGATTATTGTATGGGATGGATAGAAAGTTGACAAACTGAAATATATTTATGAATTCTTCCCATCTCATTTGGCTTCCTTGCTATCAAGTAGACTGCTAAATGCAAAAAAAAAAAAGGCAACTGTGTTATAAAAATATAAAAAGTTTTCATTAAATAAAGGGGGCAGTGAATGCATATTTTTGTTAATATTTGTACCAGGAAATGAATGGAATTTGAAATTGAAATGTCATTTCAGCTTCCAAATGTGAATATCTATATTTTGAAACTATGTAATTCAATCCAACATTTTTAAAGGAAGCATTGTTTTGGATGCTAAATGGCTCGTCCTTTTCCTTCCTTCCTTGTTCCATTCTCTGTCATAAGTTAGAATGGGGGAAGTTTCATATATTGAAGGAGAAGCCTGTGTGCAATGCCGAATGAAAATGGGTGGGAAGAACAAGAGATCTAAGCAAAGGTGCAGGAAAACTAAGATGCATCATTGTCAAATGGATTATTGCTATAGATACCAATAAGAATATGATAGGCTCAGATTGTTTTCATGTTGGGTATGAGTCACCTAACTTTTTTAATGTATCCAGAGTCTTAAAGTTAGAATTATTTCTGTTTGCTCAAGCTGAATGCCCAGGCGGGTGCAGAAATGGAGGCATCTGTAATGAAAGACGTGTCTGCAAATGTACCGATGGATTCTATGGGCCTCACTGTGAGAAAGGTAGGGAAGATCAATATCTCACTGTTTCATTCTTGTCTTGGGATTCCTGGGACTACAGTACAGTTCCCAGTACTGGGTAGGCACTTAATAAAGCTTTGTTGATTGACTGATCTTACTTATTTTCTTTCGTTCTTGCAACTTGTCCATGACATAGTTGTATGCAGAGACCCAGAGAGACTATAAACATACCTCCTCTTGTTTTAAGTCACTTTATTGTAATCAGTTTAGTGTGCATTAGTGAAATCTCAGAAATTACAAAAAAGTCTATGCAGGAAATGTAAATTCTTTCCTCAAAGAGTTATGACTGCTGACTTCTTCAGTCACTTCTATAATGGTGAAATTGGAAGCCCCTAACACTGCTTCGTCCCACATGCCATCATTAAAGCACCTAGCTACTTCGGGATAAACTTATAGGGCCATATAATATGTCTGGGGCTTTATTCTATCCTGTGAAGTGTTAAAAAGCCATTCAGCCCCAAGTTAAATGTATTCAAAATGCTCATTTCCAGTTTTTCAAAAACAGCTGTAGTCACCAATATCTAATATCATAAAATGGTTATGAGTCTAAGAGCTGATAAAAAAAAAAAACATTTAGTGTTTAATGAGAATTCCACCTTTGGGGAAAATGGTTTGTTTAGAGGCTCTTCTAAGAAAAAACACAACACAGAGAGGCAACATGGTATAGCGGATAGAAAACCCACTTCAGAATCAGAAATCATGATCATTGTGTGTGACTTTGGACAAGTAATTTAACTTCCTTGTGCCTCAGGACATTTTCTAAGACTTTCAGTTGTGGAGAAGGTGCCTATTTTTTCTTTTCTGGAGGCAATTGGGGATGTGACTTGCCCAGGGTCCCATAGCTAGTAAGTGTCTGAGGCTGGATTTGAACTCAGGTCCTCCTGACTCCTGGGCTGGTGCTCTATCCACTGTGCCACCTGACTGTCCCACCTATTTTGTTTGATAGAGAGAGTGGTCTCATTGGGAATTCCAAAAAGCCAATGAAATCACAAGTGTGGTCCAAAAAGAAAAAGAAAAAGAAAAGCACAAACAAGAAAATAATTGATCGTTACAAATGTTTAATTATTAACTCATTTGGCCAAAGGAAACTTTTTTATCATTAAAAACATTAGGAAGAAAATTTTGTATTCTTTCCCCTAGTATTTTAATTTGGGAAGGATAACTTGGATGTCTGAAGTAAAGATTATAAAAATAACGCAGGCAAAAAGATGTGTGTCCAACTTATGGCAATGAGAATTTATTAAGCTCCTAATATGTGTCAGGTTCTGATTGAGTGTTGTTCTATGGAAAGACCTCCAAATTCTCTTCCTTGAAACTGATAGAGATAGTATCAATAACATAATTTCCACCACAAAAATTCCAACTGATTGCAACCTACCTGAAAATCAAACTTTTAGGGTCATAACAAATGAACAGGCCTATGGTACTAATGATAGCAAAATGGTCATGTTCCCAAATCTTATTTGCCATTAATCATTATTCTCTCTCTCAATCAGCACTCTGCACACCACGATGCATGAATGGTGGGCTCTGTGTTACTCCTGGCTTGTGCATCTGCCCACCTGGATTCTACGGTGTAAACTGTGAAAAAGGTAATACAAATTATTGTTTTAGAATAACAGTGCAGTATTTATTGTATTTATTTAGTGACTGTAAAAAAAAAAAGAGATTGAGCATCTTTGAAAAACATCTTATTGGTCCTCCTACTGAGAAGCAAACAATGGCTCCAGGGGTGGGGAACTTGCAGCCTTGAGGCCACATGTGGCCCTCTAGGTCCTCAAGTGTGTCCCTTTGCATTCAAACATCACAAAACAAATCCTTTTATTAAGGGGATTTATTCTGTGAAGTTTGGATTCAGTCAAAGGGCCACACTTGAGGACCTAGAGGGCCACATGTGGCCTCAAGGCTGCAGGTTCCCCATCCCTGCATTATCCTAAAAGAGATTTACATCTCAGGCTCGTGAAGCAACTCGTCTCCTTCTTGGGTTCCTTTTAGGCTAGTTTTTCATCCATGTCACTTTGTCCCTTAGGGCTCTGCCCTGATCCCTTTTCTTTTTTCCCTTTATCCTATCTCTATTTTTTTGGCTAGGCAATGGGGTTAAATGACTTGCCCAGGGTCACACAGCTAGTAAGTGTTATGTGTCTGAGGCTGGATTTGAACTTAGGTCCTCCTGAATCCAGGGCCGGTGCTCTATCCATTGCACCACCTAGCTGCCCCTATCCTATCTCATTTGCTGATCTCATCAGTTTCCATGGGTTCAACGATCATACTAAATCCACTTCTTGAATTTCCCACATCTAGACATCAAGCCCTGGACTCTCTCTTGAGTTCCAGGTCCATATCACCAACTGCCATTTAGACATCTCAAATTGAATGACTCATCCGCCTCTCAAAATCAGCATGTCCAAAATAGAACTCATTTTATCCCCCCTCCCTACCCCCAACCTGCCCTTATTCTAAAGTAATCTTTCCAATCACCCATGCTCACAGTCTTGATGACATCCTTGCCTTGACTCTTCACTTTCATTTATCTCACATACTCAACCTTTTGCCAAGTCATCATTTTTACCTTCATAGCATCTCATGGATATGCCCCCTTCCCTCCCTTCACACAGCTGCCACCCTGGCAGTCCCCCATCACCTCACACCTGGACAATTGCAATTTGGCATTGTTTTTTTTTTTTTGGTGAGGCAATTTGGGCTAAGTGACTTGCCCGGGGTCACTCAGCTAGTAAGTGCAGAGTGCCTGAGGTCACGTTTGAACTCAGGTCCTCCTGAATCCGGGGCCTGTGCTCTATCCACTTTGCCACCTAGCTGCCCCCAATTTGGCATTTCTTAAATGGGGACTCCTGCTATTAATGCTTTCACACCCTTGTGCAATAGAGGAAAGACCTTTTCAGTATTATGTTCTTCAGAGGTATGAAATTAACATTTAGTACTCATGCTTTCAAAGGTTAGTGTCATCTGTCTTCCTACTCCATATTACTAAAAGCCATACTCCTTGGTAACTTGTTTACATAAATGTGACTTTATTGGCTTAGTTAGACCAAAAGACAATCGACTGAATATTTTGTGTGTGCGTGTGTTTTTCCTTCTGCTATTTTTCGGTCATCAGTGATGCTCAGGCATTATTGAAGGAGTATCTACCATAGGAACCCAGTACATTTACTTTTTTGGAATATCTCACCTCTTGGATGGAAGATTTTCCAACTTTGCTTTTAGCTCACATAGACTGCTCTTTGGAAAATCTTGTGAAATTCCACTTGGCCCCTCTAGAGAGGCTGGGAACATTAAAAATGGTGTTCTTCGTCTCCTCAAACAAAAGGGGCTTTTATTATTCAAAAAGGGGAAAAAAGCAGCTCCTGAAAAGTTTCATTTCAGACTTGGCATGGAGTTAGTACCTTCTACATATTTGAAGAAATGTTAATAAATAACTTCAGCTTTTGAGTCATCAGAAATAAATATCACATTGCTTGCCTTTTCAGTAGGTAAGGGAAGGAATGGGAGGGAAGAAGAGAATTTGGAACTCAAAATTTGAAAAGAAAAGAATGTAAAAATAAATAAATCATCAATTGAAAATAATTTAAATGAATGCAAAGAAGTATGGGGAAGCTTATGTGACCCAATGCAAAGTGAAGCAAGCAGGATCAGGAAAACAATTTACATAATGACTACAATGTAAATGGAAAGAACTCCACAAGAATTCAGTAAAATTAAAATAATTAAACTTGCTCCCAAAGAAGACACATTTGCCTGTACCTCCCTCCTTTCATTGTAGAAGTGTACAATTGGTATGGACTCATGGGTGATATTGTTATACCAAGAAATGAGCGAGTTGACCACCCAAGCTAATTTTAAATTTTGGACTTTATTAGCGCGCGGCTGCCAGGGATATTCACATCCAAATCAAGCAGCCCCCATCAGGGGTTGAGCTAGGGTTTATATAGGGAGTATACAGGACAGGGAGGGGATGGATCTTTGAAGTCTGGCAAGAGGAAGAGGTTTTTTGGGGGGGCTGGTCAAGGACACCCTTCTCCCTCTGTGTAGATATGATAATGCTCTGCAAACTTTCTCACAATGGAGGCTTCCAGAGATATGATCTGAGGGCTGTGGCCTGAGCAGCCAGATAAGGGTCTTGCTAAGGAATTTGGAGTTTTCCATGGCCTAAAGTGTTCTACTACCTAAATGGTAAAATAATGTTCTGCATTACAATATGTTGGTAAATATTTAACAACCAGCTCTCTAATTTAAAAAAAAGGTAAATGCACACTTTTAAATTTAACCTGCATTGTTAACGTTTCCTCCATCACTTTCTTTAAGTCTAGACAATCAACAAAACAAATCAAGAGTAGAGAGAGAATTTGGAACTCAAAGTTTTAAAAATTAATGTTAAAAATTGTTTTTACATTTAACTGGAGGAAAATTTTTTTAAATAAACAAATATTTCGAACAAACAAACAAATGCAAATCAAGACCTGATTTGTAGTGTTTCTGTGCTAGAGCTGGCTTGTACCAGCTCAGTCAGTTAAATCTTCAGTGTGGGTGTTTAACTGACTGAGCTGGTACAAGCTAGCTTTTGCACACAAACAGTACAAATCAGGTCTTCATTTGTTGTTTGGTTGACTTACACTGCTCACACTGCAAATTTAATGATCAACTCCTCTGAGACAAGCTAGCTCTAATACACTTCTCCCTATAATGTTAGACCTGATTGGTGTACCAGTTAGTTTTGTTGAACTGTTCCCCTCACCCTTTAAAAAGAAAATTCTTTATTATTAAGGATGGCTCTAGGGGAGAGGTAGTAAGGGGAATATATTGAGAAATCAAGGTGAGATAAAAACAATAAAAATTTTAAAATAAAAAAAAGAAAGAAATGCCACATTAGGGCAAGAGTTCTTAACCATTTTTGTGTGTCCTGGACCCCCTTGGGCAGTCTAGAAAAGGCTATAGATCATTTTCAGAATAATGTTTTTAAATGCATAAAATAAAATACACAGGATTAGAATGGAAACCAATTACCTTGAAATACAGTTATCAAAATACTTTAAAAACTAATTCAAGGACCATGGATTAAAAGCCCCTGCTCTAGGAGATCAGAAGTTACTCATTTACCTAACTCTCATCCTTAATGAAAGTCACTTCATGTCTCTCTTTTGGTTTTCTACCTAGGAATTATTACAGACCTATTTTCCCAAGGTCTAACAGCTTTATTTAGGCATTTAAAACTCTTATATAAGTGCCAACTGACATAGCCAGTTAATTGGTGGTCTAATAGTTTTGTCAGATTTTCTAGTCTGAGAGAGCCTGCGAGGCACATGCAATGTCTTTATACTCCCATTCCACGCTAAGGGGTGGTGGTTGGTGAAATCACAGAATCATCGAACGTTCGAGTTGAAAGAAATCTCAGCTAACATGGAGACTAACCCATACCTGCAAAGGAATTGCAATTATGCTATAGGACAAGTGGCCCAGATTCTGCTTAAATACCTCTAAGGTGAAGGGGAGGATGGAAAGAGGAATTGCAGAAGCACTTCTTCCTGAGGCAATCTATTTCACTTACAAATCTGATTTTTAGAAAGTGTTTTTTTCCTAACATGAAGTCTTAATTTGCTTCTTCTCAATTTCCATCAGTGCTTCCTATTCTGCCCCCTGGACCTTTGTTTCCCTGCCTCACAGGGTTATTGTGAGGATCACATAGATGTAGAGCACTTTACAAACTTTAAAATGCTCTGTTTTTGTTGTACAGTCATGACCCCATTTGGGGTTTTCTTGGCAAAGATACTGAAGTGGTTTTGCCATTTCTGTCTCCAGCTCATTTTATAGATGAGGCTTGCCCAGGGTCACATAGCTAGTAAGTGTCTGAGGCCAGATTTGAACTCACTCCAGGGTGGGTGCTTTATCCACTGCACCACCCAGCTACCCTCAAAGCCTCTAGAGCTAGAAATTTAATTTTTTTCCTTTCATTTTTTTCTCCCTCTGGCATTTTGAGCAACAAAATAAGGGGGAGAGAGAGAGATGAAGCATTCAGCTTAGGATGATCCCTCACCAGGGTGGTCAGTAAAAGTCATCACATTACCACATTATCACATCCAATTTCTATATCATACTTATATATCACTTATACATACAAACTTATAAGTCTATATCATACTTATACATACCATATGCCATGGCTTATGGAGGCCTCCCTTCATTTCCACACGAAGAATCTCATTGTTTTTTCCTATTTTTTTTCCCTTCTGTCTGCCCCAGTGGTGTGCTTATAAATATTTAACAACCAGCTCTCTGAAAACACACAGCACACTTAAGAGTTTTAATCTGCATTATCACCATTTTTTCTATCACTTTCTTAGGCCTAGACAATCAACAAAACAGTGAATCAAGCCCTAATTTGCAGTATTTGCTAACTTCTGAGGTATAAATGTTCCCACTGAAACTTTAATAATCAGTTCTCTCAAGAGGTAGAAACTGGCTCCAGAAACACCCCCCCCCCAATTTGCCCTGAATCTTTCTACTTCTACCTCTATAGAGATAGGGCCTGGACTAGTGATTTTATTGGTATAAGAAACTCCCAGGTGAGGAAATTCCTTCTACCAATGCTGGTCATCCGTCACCTTCACTGCAAATTATAGTCTTGGAGAGTTCCTGAGACAGTGAGAAGACCCAAGATCACACAGCCAGTATGTGTCTGATGTGGGACTTGAATTAAATGCATGCTTCCTGGCTTCAAAGCCTGATGAGGTTAGCTTTTTAGTCACTAACCTCTCCTTCTATTTATATTAAAATTAACCCCTTCATAGGTTCACAGATCTAGAACTGAAAGCTAGAGGTGATCTAGCCTCACCTCCTCATTTTACAGATGAGGAAACTAAAGCCAACAATGGTTTGATGCCTGGTCCAAGGTCCCAGAGGAGTAAAGGAGTCAAAGAGAGAGGTAGAATTCAATTCCAGGACCTCACACTTAGATCTATCACTCTGGTTCCTGCATCATGAGTCAATGTCTTCTCATAGAAGGTCAATCTCAACTTGGGCTAATCCTCTGATGATCTCCTCTCCTCATCTTAGATAAATCTCAAGTTTCTTAATTAATTAATTAATCTAGGTTTTAATTTTTTTTAAATTTTAAGAAATAAAACAAGCATTTTCACAATATAGAAGAATAGACAGTGTCAACTTCACTTTCCAAAGAATTTCATATTTTATTTAATTTCAATACACATTAAGCATCTACTATGTGCAGAATACCATGTTAGGTCTTGGGGAAGAAACAAACTAATACAGAAAATCACAACATACAAAACTGCATGATAGCTGCATTAAGGAAGCATAAACAAAGTGTCCGAGAAGTCAGAAACAAAGTTACTATTGATGGGGGGATTAGAGATAGTTTCCTCAACAACGTGACATTTGATTTGGGCTTTAAAGGATGGGTAGAATTTAACAGGCAAAGAGAAGATAGGCAAAGCACACAAGGCATGGGGAACAGAGTAAGCAAAGTGACAGGGGTAGGAAAACACACAGTATATTTGGGGGGCAGAGAATAGACCAGTTTGGCTGGTGTATAGAGTATGTACTATGAGATAAGGCTGGAAAAGTGGAATGGTGCCATATTGTGGAAGCTTTGAATGCCAAACATAGGAGCTAGAGCTTTATTTATATTTGACCTGTTTTGGATTGATTAATCCAAAATGTACCTCCTGGACCTCTTTCTTCTCCAATTCCTTCTCCTCCTCCTCTTTCTCCTTTTTCTTTCTCCTCCCCTTCCCTGTAATCTCCAATCACTTTCATCATGTTTTGTCCCTCTTTAAAACCCTTTCCTTGATTCAAGATATTCTCTTCATCAAGTTCAAATTGATGGCAGTGACGCATCTTTCAGGTCCTTCCCCATATACCTCTTCTTCTTCTTCTTCTTTTTTTTGCAATTGGGTTAAGTGACTTGCCCAGGGTCACACAGCTAGCAAGTGTCAAGTGTTTGGTCTGAGGCCAGATTTGAACTCAGGTCCTTCTGACTTCAGGGCCAGTGCTCTATTCACTGCACCACCTAGCTGCCCCTACACATATACCTCTTTTAACCCAGTCACATTAACCTTATCTTAGTATCCCTAATTTCCCATCCCTGTCTTGATCTTTTTCCACACCACATTATAACTTGCCATTCAAGAAATCTGATATGTGATACTAGGGGTTCTGGTAAAACTCTGGATAAAAAAAAAGATAAATAATAATAATAAAATAAATAATTAGAAAATTAAAAAAATTAAATTACATGCTCCTCATATCAAGACCCATTTTGCTAAAATATTAGCTACCACTGGAAGTAATTGTGATTTCCCCCAAAAAATATCCTGTAGGAGCATACCTTTAGAGGTAGAATGGGGACTCAGAGTTAATTTAGTTATAGGATCAGAGTGTAACAGGCATGGGTACTGTGGTGAGCAGAGTAATTTAGCCACTCTTATTCACACCTACCCTCCTGTTGTAAAGGGTAATTAATAATAACTAATGAAACAATTCAAGCGTAGGTGATTTATTAGCTAGGCATTCAAAAGAATGGGTCAGTGGACTCCTCAGTTAATCCAAAGACCCTGAATACAGAAGAAAGCAGATTTTTATACCCTCTCCAAAAATCAAATAAATCCAAAAGGTCCAGTTAATTATAGCAAAAACAATTAGCCAGGATACAAAATTAGGTCATGTAATTTCTAATTGGGGGAATGTTTAGGAGTTTTCCAAGTTGGGAGAGGTAAAAAGTAAGTTTTGGTCCAGTTAGGAGGGGGACGAGTAGGTTTTGAGGTCCTCTACTCATAAAATGAAAAGATATTGATTAATTACATCCACTTCCACATGTGAAACAATAGATTGCTTATATAATCTGGATTCCAATGGATGAATAATTAAATTCAAAATTTAAATTTTTTCATTAAAATCAAATTAAAAACAACAAAATGGATGAGTATACATGTGACAGCAGAATAGAGTCAGTGTTCAAAAATAGAATCTGATTGGTCCTGATTCTCACATTACACTAACTGCATTTTATACCTGGTATTCACTTTATCTTATCACTATTAACTCATTGCATAGATGGTTTTCCTCAATATAAACATTCTTTCTGTGCTCTGGAAAGTTGTTGCCAAAAAAATTTTTTTTAATTTAGGAGGAGAGAGTGTTTATTTTGTTTTGTTTTTAGCTCTGAGCCCCCAGTCACAGAGGGCACTGTGGCAAAACAACTCTCTTTTTCCCCTGAGGATGTTTCCTCTTAATTGTTGCCTTCCAACCATATTCCCAATAAGTATGCCTAGACTAGCAAATGTCTATAGTTCACACAGTTTATGAAAACAAAATAAGCATTTAAAACAAAGAAAAGTAAACAGATTGTCCCCATGTCTGAAGGGGAAAGGCTTCAAGTATAGAAAGGAAATACAGAATTACTACTTTGGGATCTATAGTGGTTAGAGTGACGCAGCATCTGTCCCAATATCCCTTACACCCAATTGGCCCAAAAAGTCTCCATTCTCCCAGGCCCAGCCCATTGCTACCTATTCCCCAATTTTTGTGCACCCAACTCCACATTTCCTGTCAACCCTATTCAGCTTCATACATGTTCCATGAATCTATGCAACTCATTAGGAACTGTGTTCTCCTCAATTTACTAAAACTGCCTTCATCACAAATTGTTCCACTGCCTTTTAAGGGTGGCTTGGGGGCATGGCTAGACATTCTTTGACCAGTATCATTGCTCTCCTTCTAGTTCACTCAAGAGACTTGTTCACACTTCATAAAGGGATCCCTGAGGCATGGTCACATTTTTTTTAGTTAGTTTAACACTTAATAATTGGCTTTTTACTTTCTGTGATTAGGTCCTGGGGTTTCAAAGATCGATTATTTAGTCTAACATCTTAGATTTAGAGCCACAGGACACCTTAGAACCCACTTAATTCAACCGCTGCATTTTCCAGGTGATGAACTGAAGTTCGGACAAGTTAATTGACTTACTCAAACTCACACAGGAAGTAACTAGTAGAGAGGGCATTTAATCTCAGACCCTCTGACTCCAAATCCAACATTCAGTTCCCTCGTTTTGTAGATGAGTAATAGAAGCCAAGAGAGATACAGGTCACACAGGTAGTATGTGTATTATGTAATATGTGTATAATACACAGGTAGTGCCAGAATTTGAATCCAGGTCCTCTGATGCCAGCTGCTTCCTTCTGTGATCCACTTCGTAGATGAGAAAACAAAGACCTAGAGGAGGTAAATGACATGCCAAGGATCATGTTGGTAGTTACTAGGCCATCAACGATGTAAATTCAGGTCCCTGATTCCAAGTCTTTTGTTCTTTTGCTCACATTCTCCAGTATTACTCTCTGGCCAAGAAATATTTTGTCAGTCTCTTCTAATCACCAAATTGTAGAAATGGTTTTAATTGATGCAGCTGCTAATATCAATATTGACCCCCAAAAAAGTGTTTCTCTCTGAAAATAGTGAGCAAGTTTTAGCTGTTCAGAAGACCTTCTCAAGAATGAACAAGACCTTCAAAATCATATTTCTCCTAAATTTAAGGCAAAGATGTCGAACCAGAGACTCTCAATTGTGCAGCTGAATCATATGAAAATGTAATTAGGAAATGTTGAAAAAATAGATAAAAATACAATACAACATAGATAATATTAATTTGTGGTTTTCTAAGTCAATAGGTGGTCTGTAGGGATCAGTTTCTAATTGAGTTTGAGGCCACTGGTTTAAGTTTGCCATCTAATGCAGTACTCTCCTGTTATCTTTCAGCCAATTGTTCAACAACCTGCTTCAATGGGGGAACTTGCTTTTACTTAGGAAAGTGTATTTGCCCACCAGGACTGGAGGGAGACCACTGTGAGATAAGTGAGTACTTGACTTTCTATGTTCCATTATTTTATACAACCACAGAATTTCTGGGTTGGAAGGATCCAGGGGGATGGCTTTACATTTAATTCTAAAAATATTTATTTTCTACTGTGTATAAAGTGCCACACTAGCATCTCAAGTTAGCCCTGCCTCATATAGCATGGGCAGCTAGATGGTACGGTGGATAGACTGCCAGGCCTGGAGTCAGGAAGACTAATCTGCCTGAGTTCAAATCTGGACTCAGACACTTAACTAGCTGTGTGACTCTGGGCACACAGTTTGCCTCAGTTTCCTCTCTGTAAAATGAGTTGGAGAAGGAAATGGCAAACCACTCCCCAGTATCTTAGCCAAGAAAACCCCAAATGGAGTCATGAAGAGTTGGACATAACTGAAAAATGACTGAACATAGTAGCATGGAGATGACCCTGGGCTCTTGAATGCTATGTCAATGAACCAAAATTCTGGTCGTTCCTACCAAGAGGGAAAGCCATCATTTAAAGGCCTATTGTGATGGACAGTATGTCTGTCAACCAAGAAGCAGAGGGCTGTCATAAGAAGGTTGACCCTATGGTGTTAGATGTTTTAGGCTATGATAACCCACAAAGATGTCCTACTAAGGTATGCAGAGGTTATAATCTGTGTTGGTAGAACATGTACCCGTGTAGATGAAATCATGAAGACTTGAATTATGTATGACAAGGCACTGACCTAGGTCCCGGGGATACAACAGTGCAATAAGAGAGACACTGACCTCAAGAGCTTAGAATCACTGGCCATGGCCCTGAAGCACTGAGCCTTCCACTGAGAGATGCCTGCTGCAACCATATGATGATTGAGGGAGTCAGAATTTGGAAACAATGGCAGAGAATGAGTGAAGAATTCAGCCTTCCAGGCTGCCTCAAGTGCTGGTCACAGTTATCCTATAACTGACCTGAGGAGTCAATGCACATCAAGGCCACAGGACACTAGTAGTAGAAGGGGCAAGGCCAGGAAGAAATTAACTGGAAGATGGTGTGGTAGCTTTGGAGACGACTGGCTATCACAGAGATGCAGCCCATCTTCCAACTTACTGATTGGCTGAGCACATACCCATTAGGGTCATTCCAGGGTCTTCTAGGGGTAAATAGTCCTCACTTTGGAGACCACTGTCCTAAAGAATAAGAAAGAAATGCCTTGGCATGGCATTCCAGGCCCCAAATAACCTGAGTCCAGTTGACCTTATCTCACACTATTTCCCCTCACACACTTTACGTTCCTGCCAAATCTGGCCTTCTTTCTGCCCACTCTACCATCACTGGGGTCTCTCATGATGCCAGTCCACTGCTGCTGGGGCTCACATTGCTATCAATTCTTCTGAGTCATGTGACTGCCAATCCTCATCACTAGTGCCTATTGGCCAGTGCGGTCCTTTCCCCGAACAAGTCCATCAAGTGGCACAGGTGGGTAGAGTGTTGGGCATGGAATTAGAAAGCTGCGGCTATTGTTTAGTTGTTTTTCAATCTTGTCTGACTCTTAGTGACTCCATTTGGGATTTTCTTGGCAAAGATACAGGAGCGGTTGGCCATTTCCTTCTCCAGCTCATTCGACAGATGAGGAAACTGAGTTAAATAGGGTTAAGTGGCTTGCTCAGGATCACACAGCTAGGAAGTGTCTGAGGTCAATCTTGGGACTTGATTCCTTATTCTTTGGTTTCTACAAATCCAACATGGATCCAGCTCCTGGACTTCTGGTGGCTTTCTTTCCTGACCTTTTAAGGCTTGTAAACTCATGGCCATCTCCAATATCCTTTATTTAGAAGCTGGACAGAATGGATTCAACAGAGACAGAAGCAATAGCAGCTCTTGGCTTTGTGCCTAGACAGTCCAGTTTTTTGGCTCTCTACGCCAAACTCTAACAAATATGGAGCTTCTTGCTAGACAGTATCTCTTTCACTGCCTTTTTAATTTTATTTTTCTATTTTTTTGCTTTTTGGTGAGGCAATTGGGGTTAAGTGACTTGCCCAGCGTCACACAGCTGGTAAAAGTCAAGTGTCTAAGGTCGGATTTGCCCCTAGACAGTATCTCTTAAAGAAACATTGTGATAATCAGTTATTACCAGTATGCTGAAACCCCTCCTCAACCCAAAGGGCATAGTGGCTTGTCTTTTTTTCCAGGGAGAGGAAAAGACAAAGCAAGAGACTTATTTTGGCTGGTTAGTGTCTTTTGAATGAACCCCAATTCTGGCTCAACAGCCCATTAAAAAGACTCTAGTTCACCACATTGTGAACCAAACCAGTTATAGGTTATCTGTGCATGCTCCAAATCAGGGAGTAGGAACCTTCTAGGACTTGCCATCACACCTTTCCAGAGGCAGGCTACCCAGACTCTTTCATATGGGGGCTGTATGAGGAGCACATTGCACATGTTTACCAACTCTCTGTGACATATGTGTATATATGTATCTGTCTATATAGATAGAGATCCATACATGTGTGTATATATACATATATAAAAACATACCTATAACAAATAAAATACACGTGTGACAAACAAAATAATCCTATATAAAGCACTCTACAAACTTTAAAGTGACATATACACACATATGTGTATATATACATATTATATATACATATATACATATGCATACAAATATATAATATATATTTATCATAACATCCCTAAATGGTAGATACCACAGGTATTAGCCTTCTTATTTTATTTTTTGTATGTGTGTGTGTGTGTGTATCTAATATCTGTAGGTAGTACAAGTATTATTTTCATTTATTCTTTATGGGGAAACTGAGACTCAGAGAGGTCACATATGGATGTAAGTGGTAAATGCTGGGGGTATTTCTTGAGAGATCTAGCCATCTATCCACAATGCTTTGTGATGAATGGACAAAGGAAAGGGTCTAGACAAAATAGAAAAGACAGGACCTTTTACATGAGAATATTTATTACAAAAGGCATAATCATAAATACACAAACTTATTTCCCCAACACATGGGATGTACAGTACTCCTCACACATATCCCACACATCATTCACTGGGGAGGAGAAGGGGATGAGCTTCATAGCTTAGTTAGGTTCCCATAAAACCCGTTTCCAGTTCCAAGTCCAAAATACCCCTCCAGCTTAGGTATCCTGATTTATCCTGGTTCTAAGGTAGCTGCAGGGATCACCTGCACTCAGTATCTGAAACTAAGGACAAATAATGGAGAACTGAAATCAGCCTTCTTAGATTCCTTTTTCCCTAGCCAGGGTAAAAGAGACAGAGAAGAGGATGGCAAGTCCATCCACTCTCATTGGCTCAGTTCAATGTATCCATGCTGATACAGAAACAGGGTTTTGTGTGTGTTGTGGGGGGTGGGGAACTATGAGGCTGGGACAAAGGGTCCATAGCTCAGCTAGTTTTAATGACACTGCAGCCAGTCAAAGGGGACTATCATCACCATGGGGTAGGGAAGAAGGGCTCTATATCAGGTAAACTGGGCATGCTCAAAAGGCCCTCACAGGGGTTTCCATGTTAGAAACAGGCATCCCCAGAGAAGCTCAGGTTACAAGTAATTATAAGAATTCTGAAAAGCAAATGATCACTTTCTACTGGTAGGAATCAGGAAAGTCCAGGCTAGGTTCAAAAGAAAAAAGCATTTATCAGCATCAACCTAAAAACAAATTATAAAGGCAATCCATAGTGGAACAGTCATTAGATTCTCTTAAATGAGAAAAATCCTGACCCAAAAATGGGCCTTGTACAAGATCAGGAATAATCTTGTTCCCATGTATTGGTGTCTAGGTAAAGGCTCTCTCTTATGGCTTGGGGAACAGAGAGACTATAGTGAATGTATGTTATTACCCAGATTCCAGGCCGGCTTAACAGATCACTTGTCCACCGGAGTTACTATATTCCTTGCAAAAAACTATTCTTTCTTAATCTTAGCTTCCACTTTCTTTGTGAACCTTTCTCAAATCCTTCCATCTTTTCTCACTCTCCTCATTAGCAATCTTTCCTTTGCCCACATCACTCCCAACTTTGTATTATATTTGCTTCTGTCCCTGTTGTATCCCCCAATACAATATCTTCTTCTTGAGGCCAGGAATGGTTTTATTTTTGGTTTTTTATCCCCAGTCCCTAGGGAAGCATATTGCACACAGTAGGAGCTTAATAAATATGTTTGTTTTCAAATATATGTTGACCCTAGCACTGTGACCCTGGGCAAGTCACTTAACCCCGATTGGCTCACCAAAACAAACAAACAAAAGTTGTTTGTTTTCTGGTCCAGTGTAATTTCATCGGTATAATGTACTCTTGGAGTGTAAACTCCTTTCACCAATGCAGATCAGCAACTCACTGTTATCTGATAACAATCGATTTGCCTGATATATCCTCAGCCATGAAGGCTAAGGCTTAACTGACCCAGAGATTGGTCAATGCACCCCTTCCCAACCACATGCTTGCTGTAGCATGGTTAGACTGTAAATGTCCTGGGTCCCTGCCCCTCATTCTTCATTCCTTCTTCAACAATTCATAAGGTACTCTGATTTCAGTGGTCCAGGCTACCCTCCTGCCTCGCCCTACAGATTGTATACGTATACCTGTTTGTATCACATCAGCTCTTTGCATAAAGTGCTACAGCCTGTCCCAAAAGTCTTAGTGCAGTTTTAAGCAATTAAAAGTTGAAAACTGCTCTAAGACCTTGGGGACATCCATTATGTAAGTTTGAGGCCTGAGTGGCTTTGAAGCCTGTGGTCATAGCACTCATTCTGCTGAATGCAAAACCACCAGCCTGCCTGTGGTACTGGGGACAATGGGAGGGGAGGATGGCCACCCATGCTGTTTCCCATTGGCCCCTGTCCTTCTCCCGTAACTACCATCCCTGTGGGACAGTGGCCCTCTTTAGGAATGGCTCTCTTCTCTCTTACCCTGCACTCATCATGGATATTTAATTGTTTAGGGGCATTGAGAGGTCCATGTGATTTGCCCCCTGGTCCCTCAGCTAGTGGTCCTAGAGAATT